ATGCCTCTTTTCTTACATGGAAGAAAGAACATAGAGGAATGGTCTCTAATCAAAGCACTTGAAGCCTAGTCAAGAATCGAAAGGATTAACAACTCAGTACTCCATCTTCAATGGAAAGCAATTGAAAATGCACCTTAGAGATGTTTGATTAGAGACTCAAAAGGATACATTTTCGTGATTCATTACCTTACAACAGTCCTATGACAATTTACATATGGAAAACAGGTTGAGATTGCTAGCTGCTGAATTTCAGAAAACGTTTAGAAAAGTCCAGCCTCCTCACTACAATCACAGGACGTTGTAAGGTCAAGAGATTACAGTGGGGTCACATGTCCTTAACTACCCCTTGGAAAAGCTCCCCAGTGTGGGCATTCCTCCAGTTGATAATTCCCCGCTGTGGTGCAGAATCTCTCAAAACAATATAGAAGAAGCCCTGTCCGTGGTGCTTGGCCACAAGACTGGGCCACCAGGGAGGCTACTGTGTCTGCACCTGGTCACAAAACATTAAGCAAGACCAAAACAAACTGAAAACAAACCAGACAGCAATCCAACAAAAAAACCCCAACAAACAAAACAAACAAACAAAAAAAAAACCCAAACAAACCAAACCAGGAAAAAAACCAAAGAAAAAAAAACCAACAAAAAAAAGCAAAGGCCTCCTACATTGCCAGAAAACGTGTATTATGATAAGAGGGCTTTCACCTGAGTCTTCAAAGTCATCTTCAAAACAGACTCTTGTTGAAAAGGTTAAGTAGGCTTTTATTCCAGGAGGAAAGCACAGAGGGCCAGAATTCAAGTAGGCTTGTTGCAAAGCAATGTTTAACACTTGGCATCATTCTTTGATGCAGAGTCTGCTCCATGGGGCCTCAAGTGACACTGTGTCTTTTCCCTACATAAGGGCTATCCATTTCATCCTAGTGATAGAGCACTGCACACCTACAAAGGTTGTCAGCCAGGGGAGTTACCCTGTTCCAGCAGCATTGGTTCAGACTGAATGGCTTCTGAAAAACGAAAGAGCAAAGACCTTGCCTACCTTGGTAACACAAAGCCACCTTATCTGGTTGCAAATTTGCTTTACTGCATAAAAACAGCACACAACCATGGTCAGAGGCCTCCCGGCTCCCTCCTCTTCAGTGGGGTATTTCTGATCACTTCCCATTAGGCCTGAACATTAATATATCTAATCTGCCAAGTGGATGATTACTGTCTTGAAACAGTTTGAAAAGCAAAGTACACACAGCAATGTCAGGCACTAGTAATGGTTTGTTCCTATCACAAAGCTTGTCAGTTTCTTTCAACTACGAACAATTAAATAAAAAAGATGTCCCACTTCAAATCAAAAACAAGGAGAAAGCCCAAAAAGTGTGCTGTGAGAACTAATTCCTCCTGGGATGGAAAAGAAATTATCCCTATCTAGTTGCATCTCACCTAGTTACAGCCAAGACATGTATGGCACATTCTGCTGCTGAGTCCTCTATAGGGCACAGCAGAACAGAAGACTGGCTCTTTCAGGAGGGATCGTACCTCTTAAGGCAGTTTTAATTTTGGGATTAAACCCCAGTGCTTCTCAGATGTGAACCAATATGAGAAGAAACTAATTTCAGGAAGTCTGATCCACACCTTCCCAGAGTGTATTTTTTATCCAGAGCTGTAGAAATGACTGATACAAGAGTTTACAGGTATCTTGCTTTGCTGTGTAAAGACCCTACATTATAGGGTGACAGCAGAAGCCACTGAAACTACAAGATGAGTGTACATATGAATACAGACTACAACCTGAAACCCTGCCTGCACTAAGCATCACAACGCCTAATCTTTTTATGGCAAAGTGAACCGCTGGAGACCTAAATGTCAAAAGCAACAAGCAGATGAGTATCACTTGAAAAGACCAGACACCTCTTGCTGCCAGTATTTAACTCACATCCTTTGCAGTGGGTTACTTTCATATCATGAGAAAGTGTAATAACTTAAATCATACAGTGAAGAGTCTGGATTCTGTTCCAAAAATGTCTCTATAGACTGTCTTGTCCATCCAGCCTTGTTTGAAACATTCTGTGGGAGAACTCCACGACTGAAAATAAGAAACTCCTTGCTCTCTAAGCTTGACAGCTGTGACAAAAAGACACTTAAGTCAGAGGAGAAGGCTGACTTCACACATCTTAACTTCAGTTGCTCCAGCTGAGTAAGGGAATGATGGCTGTTCTCACCCATACAATGAGGTACAAACAACTTGTTTCTCAGAGGGGAAAAAACCATTTTATTGAGAAAATAATTTCATTTTAGGTTCCAAAAAAGGCACATCTACACACCAGAACACAAACTAAAGCTAATTATTTGCGACAAAATTTAGCCTAACAGCATATAGCATTGTGTTGAAAATCAGACCATTAGGAAAGAAAACACATTCATTAGACACTATGAGTTGGGCAAACATGCACAGAAAAATATAAAATAGTTTAGCCTGATTTTCCACCCAGTTAATCAGTCCTGAAGCCAATGGAATCATGGTATCATTAAGCAGATTTCTCTAAAGAGCTCATAACAGTTCACACTGCTTTAATAACCTGCCTATGTGTCAGAGAAGCTGAAGAAAAGAGAAATTTTCAGGACTGAAGGAAAGTTTAAAAAATACATTCTGAGTATCAAGCAGTTTAGGAAATATTAAAATTCATACGAACAAGTAACGTCACAGTGGTTACAAAGAAGCATGACCATATTTTCTCCTCAGTTTTGAAGTAAAAAAAGCACATGAGCATAAACATAAGACTTACTCTCTCATGCAATGTATTATGGTCATATTCAGATACTATAAAAAATACTAGTAACTTATTTCACTTAGAAGTGTTATTTTTAACCAAATATATTATGTACAGAATCCCATTTCTAGCAAGAAAAAAGTTAAAGAAATATTGCCTGAGAAACTGCAGAAAAATAAGACACTTGTTATGCATTTTATTGTTTCTGTAGATCTTTAATATGTTAATAACAGATATACCCTCACGAGTGGAAGTTTACTACCGCATAAGAAACTTAAGTTAGGGAGTTATATGCATAATACTGTACTAAGCATTATTACAAAAAGGAAAATCATTTACTTATTGGAAGAGTAGATAAAAGTGCAAAATCAAACTGATAATTAAAGACAACAATGACATCTAGTGGACACTCGGAAAACTGACCTGCAGATAACAGGGAAACTGCTGTTACTGTTCTTCATACAGGGATCAGCTCCCAAATTGCTACAATACAATTCCAAAGATGAAAAGACAGAATTCGCTGCTGATTAAAATCACAGTAATGTGATGATTCATTTCTTTCAAAATAATATTTAATTAATTAAAAAAAAAAAAAAAAACAAAAAAAAAAACAAAAAACATGTCAAGACCTTTCCATTTAAGATTTAGGATAAAAGTAAAGGTCAAAGCTTGAGAGAACATCACAAATCATTGAAAGGACACAGTGCTAACATAAGAGGCGTACATCTTTGCTACACTTTTTCGTTCCCACTGCATCTACAACCTTCTATTATGTGTCACTCTTGAGACGTCAAACTGTTGGGACTGAAAGTGAAAACAATTAAAATCCCAGAAATAAAAATTTAAGCCACTATTTAGCATCTCCCTTTTCTTGTCATTCCAATCCTTCTGTTATTGTAATACCTGCCATATAACGCTGGTACGTTAAACCTTCCCAAAGTATCTGCCAGTAGCTGCTGAGCTCCAGAGAAGAGGAATTTGAAACATGAGGCCCCAGAGACTCAAAATTAGCAAAGATACCTGCTTATGAACAACCTGATTAGTTTACAAAGTGGACATCTAGTAAGATCATAGATTAATTTAAATCTGCTTTTACTACTTACCAGAAGGTAAGCAAAACTAAGCAGTTAAAGCAACTCAAAATCTGATCTCAGTTGTTCTGGCTAGAAGCATCACCAAGAAAAAAATACTGGTTTGACTATTACACTTTTGTAAATAAAAAAATTAACAAAACACCACAACTCTATGTGTCATTCAAAGTCTTAAGCATGTCTTCAGAACTGGAAATTGGATTTTGCATCATATTGTTAAAAAACAGTATCTCTTTCACAATTTTTACATCTCAATGACTGTCCAATATAAAAAAAAAAAAAAAAGCTTTGCAAAAAATTATTAACTGTACTCAAAAGTAAAACATCATTAATGAACATATCTGATTGTAAGTTACATTACTTTCAATTTAAGTTGGTATCTTATTTGCTTTGTATATGATTACGGAAGAGTTTGTTGCAATTCCACTAGCTCTCACCACCAGCAGCTGCTGGAGTCAGCTATTAGCGGATATGGAGCAGATTTTCCCTTACATAAAGGTTCTCTAACCAGCAGAATACAAAGAAACCTTTGCAGAACTGATTATATGCCTTTTTGTCCTAATTTTTTTTCCAGGATCTCAAAGTTAGCTTTGAATCAGATGCTGTCAGTTAATAAGAGCATATGCAGCCTCCCAATTATGAAATCCAGACTCCAAAATATTTATGCACCATACACAGCCATAATTAAAACCTGTAGTTTTAAATGTTGAGTCCTGGTGATGAAACTCAATAGCTGAGCAAGTCACTAATGGAAAAAAAAAAAAAAAGCATGCATTTCAGTTAGGTCTAAAAATGCAAGTATTTAAAAGCTAAGTTTCCCTTTCGATGAATGGACCTTCAGGTATTTTATATGAGATCAAAGTTTAACCAGCTCTAAACAGCCCATTCTGGAAACCCCCATCCTCTCTTCCGTAACAGGATCCATGCATCAAGCCCATTATAACAATGTTGGCAATGGAGCCTGATTAAAAACCAGAAACCAGACGAGTAAATTTACAAGGCAAAACCTAAAAGCAAACATCAAAATAAACCCAGCTGTTTTCCCACTTCAAGCATGATGCCATATTTTACCTCCCAAACCAATTTTTCTACAACATATGTCCTAATGAGAGAGAACTATCTTAAGGTAGAAAGCAAAGCATCAGTGACCTACCCGGATTTCCTGAAGATTATGAAAATTATTTCCTACTCTGACAGAGATTTTGCTTGGAGTGTAACTTTCATCAGATTTGTAGTCTGCATAAATGCACAGTGTCTTCACCGTTGTCTTCCTTCTGCAAGAAGCAACACAAGCTACATAAGCATCACAAAGAAAAATATTCAGGATCAGCTTGCAATAATTAAGGATTTAAACGTTCTAAAAATGAATATGTGTGTCTACTGATTTGTAAGAAATTTCTGTTACAGAACAAGGTGGGGTTTTTTACATTAGGTTATGTACACACAGTTGATTTCCATTGTTCTCCTCTGTCTGCCTTAAGAAATGTCAGAATACCAAGAAATGGGCCAAGATGCCAAATAAGCCCTTGTATGCAATGAAACTTTTGTTTACCTTATCAAAGGTAAGTAAAGAACTAAGGAGTTCTCAAAAAAACAAATAAAGAAAGGTAACAAACATCTAACATCATCTTAAGTTTGGTTAAAGAAAAAGTACTGAAAGCATCCTACACAGAATTGAATAAAAAAGGGTTTCTCAAACTCAGTTGTCAGGTTATACACGACTTTGTTGTAACAATCGTCTATCCTTCAAATTACTCTCAAAGACAGAAAGTTTGGATAAAAGTCACCTTAGTGATGCTGTCACAAATGACGTACTATTAAACGGGGTTTTTTATTGCTTATTTAGGCATTTAGTAAATCATTACATTTGAAAATCTTATTTTTATAAATGTCATCTAACTGGTTTCTTAGCAGCTGGGTAACAGGATTAATGATGGAGTCTTTTCACTTCTAAAATTCCTATCTTGGTGAACAGTAATGAACACAAAGTTATATAAAACATCCTAACTCATAGGGATTATTTTTAATACCTAAATTGGATGTTCACCAAATGAGGCTGCGATCCATCTGACTGCCAGTAAGTTTCTAGGTTATCATCTCGTAACTGATCCACTCCAAACCCTAAGAAAAAGAAAATTTTATAGTCTTGAATATTCCATTTCCATGATGCAAATGTAGCTTTTCTTCATCTATTACAAAATAATGTAGCCCAAGGTATAATATAGAAGGAAATATTCTAGATACCCCAGTTGTGCCTATGCTTTTCTGACACAAAACTAAAACACAGGAATCTGTGAAAACTCAATGCTGTTGAAGTCTGTGGGGTGTTAAACCATGTCAACATGTCCTGGAATTTCAAATGGTTAAGTAGTAATTCATATTGATTGTAAGAACACTAATTAACAGTTAGATTTTCCCACTTATTCTGTAATTCAACTGCTGAGCTAAGGCAAAATCATTAGCAGAGACCATTCATTTATTATAAAATTTTAGCCAAATGTAACATTTTCAAGTAGTCTCCTGAAGTATTTTTGCTTTTTCAAGTTACTAGCTAGAATAAGCAACAGATGGCAAAAACAGTACTCCTGAAAGTTAACGCCATCACATTTAAAGAAACAACTCCAAATCTATATTTTTCCATCTCTTCATTATCTGTCCTTTTACTAATCACAACCTTTTATTGATTGCCCACCCTAGTTGCAGTTCTAATGCAGCAGCTGAAGTTGAATCTGCAATAAAAAAATTACTTTCCCCATGTTTAAGAAACAAAACCATATGATATTTTTTCTCCAACTAAGCTTCCAGAATATCAAACCAAACACATTCAGCCTGAGCACAATATTGTGACATAAAGGGATCATTCTCTTTAGGTTGCAGCAAGATACAAGATAAATTCCCAACAGCTATTTCTGAAATAGCAAATATAACACTCCAAAGGAAAAGAACCCAGATCTTCAGATATTTTGAGCAGGTATCATTAACTGCACTTCAGGACCATTTACAGTAGTTTTATTTTATTTGCAGGGTTTTAGGGAGCTACACTATAATGGCCGAGTCCACACGAAGTTTAGACAGAACATTTAGGTCACCCAACTGCATAGTTGCTCTTTGGCAAAAATCGAAGACACCCAGGCAAGATGCCAAAGCATAGAAACAACTACACAGTGCTGGGTGGGTTCCTGCTCACATGGTTTAGTTTGTTCACTGTGCAAGTAAAACAAAAAACTCAATTTAGTATAAAATAGGTAAAACATCTGTTAACATGAGATAGTAGGATTTTACCTGGCTTACAGGACGAAAGGGACCAAACCGCTTGTGAGCCTATTTCTCTAACAGTACCAGTCCTCTCTAACTGCTTTGGATCAGCACCAGGTGGTGTCTTGTTTGGGGTGGTCATTTCTAGTAAGAGCAAACAGCAGTGAGTTAGTTGACACATTTTTGGCTTAATGGGAAAATTAAAGGCTTGTGTTTGTTCACAGACACTTTAATTCTTTGGCCTCACACTTAGATAATAGCCTATGGAATATGTTGTTTATACACATACACATACATGAACACATTTTTGCATGTCTGTAGAATCTTTTATTTATACATGTATAAGGTAACGTATAAAAACATATATTAAGTAATCTAAGAGGTTCCACGTATACATAAATTTTGTGTCCTTAAAAATCCAATACATACTTGGAACATTCATAAGACCAATTTTATTTGTATCATTCTAATTTACACATACAGAGTTAGTCAGGGGTTCAGGATTTGGTTTTTATAGTTCTGTACAGACCTTGTTGATTTAAAGGCTAACAATACAACTTCATTCCACCTCCCTCCCACATATACTTAAAAGTTTTACTTAATCTGCAAGTTCAGAAACCTGTTCAGAAACTACAGCAAGCCTGTCCTGGGGATACTGCTCCTTAAAAATAGGAAATGAGAGTTTAAACAAATTGTGTAGTCTCTAATTTGTGACAACTGGTTATAGTCACATTTATCCATGGTTCATTTCCTTAACTTCACAATTTCATCTGGAAGCACTGCCTGTGACTTGCACTGCTCAAGTAATCACATACAGTCTCAACACCCAGACTACCACCACATACACTACAACATAATCATGCTGGCACCCATTTGGTATAGAGCACCTTATTACTTTCTAGGAAGTACCTTAAAAATAATTGAAGGGAAAAAAAAAGCCAAACCAAAACAAAACACAAAAGCATTCCAGAGAAGCATAAGGTCCATGAAAGGAACTACATTAAAGCTTAAAATTAGACATACAGTGTTCGAGTCAGGGAATTAGAGGTGACTTCTCACCCTTTGCTCACATGCATCACATCACGCTGTGCTCTGCTATTGTCAAAAAAAAGTCTTCCAGTACCTCACCCAGAGAGCAAATAAGGTACAGAACCAGGCTGATATCCACAGGATCCAGACCTCACCCACTACAGAAGTGGCACAAGGCAGAGACAAGATTTTCTGTGTACTAATAACTTTGCAGCTCAGAACTCTCTGTGGGACACAGAAAACCTGACTTCTGTAGTGCACATCACTCACTGCACCAAACATCTTCTACTGGCCCTTGGCTATTTAACTTTTTTTAAATTGTCATACATATGACTTGAGACAGAATTGAGGGGTTTTTGCTACTTTCTCATACAAAACTGCAGCCCTAACTACCATAAAAAAACTGAATAAACAACTGCATGTGTAGTGAAATTTAAATACTGAAACAGCAAGTGTCCCAAAAGGCCATAAACAAAAATCTTATTCAAACACCATTCTCTCAGAAAAGTTGAACACTACACAGTTAGTCCTACAGATATCACACATATATGTTCACAGACATAGTAATCCTAATGACATCCAAATAAAAAAAAACCAAACTCATGCAACAAGATGTTTTAAAGTCCTTGCCAACATAGAAAAGTTTTGTTCAAAAAAACCATCAGAACTGTTGCTGTTATGTCGTGATGGTCCAATAAAAAACACACAAGAAGGCTGATTTAGGGCAACATAAGAAAAGGCCTCTTCTTTACTAAAATCCCAGCTCCTTTTATATCATTTTCAAAAAGCAGCAACTAAGCAGTAAGTAAGCAGCGAGCAAGCAATAATTGGCCACTCATCATTACTGATACACTTGGCAGCAATAGTGAGACACCTGGAGATGCCCAAGGACAAGGCTGTGGTTCTCACATACCAAATCTACGGACTCACAGTCCGCCCTCACTTCCCAATTAGCCTGTGTGTAAAACTTATTTATTTTCAAGGCCACACTCGAAAGTTTCCCAAGTCAATTTCTTCTTCTAGGGAGTTAACAGACCTGCTATTAACCCCTACACAGAACTATTAAAAAAATTAAACTGACAATCCATTTAGCCATTCCTCTAAGGATACACTAGCACGTATGTTTTCCCTACCCACTGCATTTAAATAGTGCATTATCTGATTTAACACTTCTATCAGATATTTGCAATAGGCTCCTTAAAACACAGCTTTAATAATAATTCTTTACTGAATCAGCTACACTACAAACCTGTATATATCTGGTTGCTACTTAATACAACTTTAAATTTATTAATAGTGATTTCACTAAACCAACATGTCACAAGTAGTCTAATCTTCTAAGAATACAAAATAATCTTGGAAAAAATTACAAAAAAGTTCACAGCTACTTCAAAACCAAACCCTTTTCACAGAATCACAGGATGGTTTAGATTGGTGGAAGGTACCTTCAAAAATCATGTAGTCCAACCCTCACCCTACACCAAAATTCGGATTATGTTTATTAACCATGGGGGAGAGTATTTTTCTGGACTCATGAATTTTAAAGCTCAAATGACCTCCTAGTCCAAACTCTTCTATTTTTCACTTTGCGACAATAAACTAAGAAAGGTTGAGTTGCATTCATTTAATTCTCAGATTTTTATAGAAACCACTTTCGAAAACAGAGAATTCAACCTCACAAAGTTGTTATTCATTTTAGTTCAAGTGATCACATCTCAAAAACATCATACAAAACATCTTCTGAAAATCATCACGAGCAAGCCTTCGATCTCTTTTGATTTCAAGAGAAAATGAATGAAAAACTCCAAATCTGATACTCGCATGTTCATTCCTAGAAATAGCTATTGTCAGATACCTACTCTTTAAAAAACACTAGAAGTATGTAAACATTCTATCAAAACTCACCATAATAAGTCACAGAAATCACCCTGTTCACTCAGATTATATCAGAAAGTTGATTACACACGCTTTCAGAAAAAAATACTGGAATTTTTAAGTCTGCAGAATCCCTTAAGACAACAGTGTTGAGATTTCTTATAAGCTTCAGCGCACAGAGAAAAGTTCTAAATAATTTAACACTGCCAAGATTTGTATTGTAATGGCACTCAAAAATTCGAACCAATCATTTTGGGGGTCTGAAACATAAAGCAAGAAACACCATCCAAGATTACTAATGTTTTAAATTGATCTTGTTTCCTTCTATCGAACTGGCAAAGCTACTCAAAATCCAAATTCCAACTCCAAACCACTGTTGGCAAATAAATCAACCACACAGTGTGTACTAGTCATGCAAAAGACTGAAAATCTTTAATGGTTGAACTGATTGAGTCAGATTTTCATGACAGAACTCCTGTTTAACTAGCTCACGAACAAGACATTCTAGATACCTAAGGAAAAATAATGCAGCAGCAGCTCATTCAAATAACAGTTCTGGACATTTTCCTAGCAGAAGTAAAAGTACCTCATTTTGAGCAAGACATAGACACTTCACTTTAAATGTAATTTAAGTCACCTAATAAAACTTTTCTCAGCTTTTTCAGGCTGTGTAAAAACAACTAATCCTTCTAGAGGCCCTTCTCCTTGACACATGCTGAAAACTGGAAAGACATGCCACATCTACAGAAGCACTGGCTGGAAACATCTCCAATTTTCCAACTCAGTTATTCCAAAAGATCATTAACAAGCCGCTGTTTCCTTATTAGCAGCATTAATATATGAACGTCTCAATTACATGATCAAGGTCACACTTCCGCTTTGCCCCTTTCCACTATAGGTTATGCACATCCTTTGATCAAGACAAAGCAGTGGATGAGCTTTCCCACTCCCCCACCTATAACTTTATCCCTCACCATCTTCCTCAGAGAAGTTCGCTCTTTTCCGGAGAACATCCCATCCCTGTGGAGTAGCAGCCATTAAAGACGTTTTAGCAAGCACACAGTGAAACGGATTGACATGGTTGGACAGTCTGGCTTTCACAGCCAAACCAGATGGGGCACACTCAGTGTACTGGCACAAGACACCTTTAGAAGCTTGTCTGAAAGCAAAGGACACACATACTCCTCCCATAACACACTGAGCAGGAGACATAGAAGGATACAGGCCTTTCCTCCTGAAGCTCCATAAAAATCCAGCCTCGGGTGACCTTGCAGATTTCAAAGCAATTTTCCCCAGTTCAAGTTTCTAATTCCACCAAGTTATTACACACAGAACTGTTCAAACCCACATCCATAAGGGCCCTTGAGAGACCAGAGTGCCCTTAACAGTATCACTTTTTAGAAACATGCATGATTTCTGCTGCTGCTCTACAGAGAACTCAAAGACTAGTTAATCACTGGCCTTTATGTAGTAACCCTTCACAGATGTGAGGGCCCTCTCCAAATCTGCTCTTCATTTCTTCTATTCTAGTGCATCTATGTCTCTCAAGCTTCCCTCACAAATCAAGTTTTTATAAACCTAATACTCTTGCAGAGTCTAGGTATCTACCTACTATTGTTTAAGAAAATAAACATGCCATTTTAGCTAAGGTCCTTATTCAACAGAGCAATCACTTCAATCACACTTGTTAACATGGCAAAATAACACCTGTCTAATTCAAAAAACATATTATCAATTTATATTTAATTTACTACGCACTACAGTGCTCAAATGCTTTTTTGGGATACTGTTTACTGTTCACTTCAGCCTCTCCAGTAATCAGGCCTTTAATTTTTTTTCCCCTGTGTTCTCTTCCTCTCTCAGTTCTTGCTAACTGAGCTTAGGTGCACTGATTTCCAACCTGCTACCTATCTTCTCAAGATCATTTTGAATTCTGACCCTGAGTCATACAGTGCTTCCAATTTGGCAGCATATTTATTTTGTGTTCCTCACTGCAGAATATAATGAAAATACATTCAAAGCTGAACTCACCAGGAGCACACTTTGTGACACCCCAGTTTAAAAGTGAGGTTTTACAAGTCAGTTTCAAAATCAATTTTTCAACCAGTTGTATGAGATCTTAAAAAATATATATATTTTTAAACCACGTTTCAGTAGCTTAAACAATGGCAGAAAATGTATAAAACTCAAGACAAACCCCTTATATTCCTTTCTCACTATATGCAGTGGCTACTGTAAAAAAGAACTTTGATCCAGACTGCTCTTAAACCACATTAAAATATTCCTGTTCACACACTAGTTTTAATTGTCTTCTACTTACTGACAAAGTCCCTTCCCAAACCACCTCCTCAGAATCTTTCAGGGGATCAAAGTTCAGCTAACTTTGCTGTTAAAA